TAGACCGAGAGGAAATAAATAGAGACATCTTGAAAAATGTCCATATTACACAGGATGTGGTGTTGGACATCTTAAAATGCATAAAGGTGGATACATCCCCAACACCTGATCAGGTCTACCCTAGAACTCTGTGGGAAGCTAGGGAAGCGATCGCTGGGCCCTTTGCTGAGACACTTGTATCATCGATAGCCACAGATGAGGTGCCAGAAGTTTGGAGGTTGGCTAACATGGTGCCACTATTTAAGGAAGGGTAAGGAAAAGCCAGGGAACTATAAATCAGTGAGCTGACGTCGATGGTGGGCAAGTTGTTGGAGGGAATCCAGAGAGACAGCATTGACATGTATTTGGAAAGGCAAGGACTGATTACAGATAGTCAACATGGCTGTGTCTGTGGGAAATCGTGTCTCACTAAATTTGGTTTTTTGAAGGAGTAACGAAGAGGACTGACGGGGGCAGAGCGGTGGACGTGATCTATGTGGCCATCAGTGAGGTATTCAACAAGATTCCTCATGGTAATCTGGTTAGCAAGGTTAGATCACATGGAATTCAGGCAGAACTAACTATTTGGATAGAGAACTCACTCAAAAATAGAAGAGAGTTTGGCGGTGGAGGGTTGCTTTTCAGACTGGAGGCCTGTGACCAGTGGTGTGCCAGAAGGATCGGTGCTGGTTTCACTGCTTTTCGTCATTTTATATAAACAATTTGGATAGGAACATAATAGGTATGGTTAGTAAGTCTGCAGATGACACCAAAATTGGAGGTGCAGTGGATAGTGAAGAAGGTTACCTCAGAGTACAATGGGATCTTGATCAGATGGTTCAATGGGCCAAGGAGTGCTGGATCGAGTTTAAGTGACAGAATCCCTACAGTGTGGAAACAGGCCTTTCGGCCCAACAAGTCCACATTAACCCTCTGAACAGGAACACACACAGACCCATCCCTCACCCCTGGCTAACACATCTAACCTATACATCCCTGGACACTACAGGGCAATTTAGCACAACCAATCCACCTAACTAACACATCTTTGGTATGGGAAGAAACCCACACAGACACAGGGAGGATGTGCAAACTCCACACAGACAGTCGCCTGTAGGTGGAATCGAACCCAGGTCAGTGGGGCTGAGAGACAACAGTGCCAACCACTGAGCCACCATGCCGCCCCCATTTAGATAAATATGAGGTGCTGCATTTTGGAAAGACAAATCAGGGCAGGACTTGTACACTTAATGGTAAGGTCCTAGGGACAGCTGCTGAACAAAAAGACCTTGGAGTGCAGGTTCATAGTTCCTTGAAAGTGGAATCACAGGTAGATAGGATAGTGAAGAAGCCATTTGGTATGCTTGCCTTTATTGGCGAGTGCACTGAGTATACAAATTGGGAGGTCATATTGTGGCTGTATGGGACATTGGTTAGACCACTGTTGGAATACTACATGCAATTCTGGTCTCCCAGCTACAGGGAGGATGTTGTCGAAGTCGAAAGGGTTCAGAAAAGATTTGCAAGGATGTTGCTAGGGTTGGAAGATTTGAGCCACAGAGAGGGGCCGAATAGGCTGGGGCTATTTTCCCTAGAGCACCAGAGGCTGAGGGGTGACCTTATAGAGGTTTATAAAATCATGAGGGCCACGGATAGGGTGAATAGATAAGGTCTTTTCCCCCCTGATGGGATGAGTCCAAAACTGGAGGGCATTAGTTTAAGGGCCAACATTTTCATGCAGAGGGTGGTGCATGTATAGTATGAGCTGCCAGAGGACATGGTGGAGGCTGGTACAACTACAACATTTAAAAGGCATCTGGATGGGTGTGTGAATAGGAAGGGTTTACAGGGATAAGGGCCAAATGCTGACAAATGGGACTAGATTTATTTAGGATATCTGGTCTGCATGGACAAGCTGGATCAAAGGGTCTGTTTCCGTGCTGTACATCTCTATGACTCTGAGATGGAAGCCACATAATAAAATTGCATCGCGGTTAGCCGAAAACCAACTGAAAAAAATCGAAGGGGCAGACGTCCCCGCTGCAACTTCCACAAAAGCAAGTCCCAGGGAAAACGACAAAAGTTTAAATTTCAGGCATCAGAGATTAATAGACTATGTCAAAAACACCACTAAGAGGTTTTATATTATCTCATCAACAAGGCAACCCGAGAAGTGACATGTCCATTCATCCTACACTTACCTGCATTTGTGCTTTCTTCATATTGCGATTTACCACTGCTGCCATGTAATTTAATGCAGACTCTCTAGTCTCACCATTAAGTAAAATATTGTGCAAAATTTTGAAGAGATCAGTCTGCAAACCAAAACACAAAAGGGATATTACAAAGTTGGAAGGTTGTCATTCAATCCACACTCAGCGAACCTCAGTGGTTAAATAAAAACAAAATGCATGAGTAAAAGAGTCCACTTGTCACTCATTTGAAATCGCATCAGCAGATATCCTGGATTCAAAAGCTGCAGGTGTAGAAGACTGTAAAAACTTAAAACGATGGTTCAGAAAACAATTGCACATGACCAACTAGAAAATATTGAATTATGGGATTCAAACTCCAATCATGGATGCTTCTCATGTTCATGTTGATGAACTTGAAATGGTTGCCAAAATCAACGGTGCTCACCCAGTGCATCATTCATTTAGTAGGCTTATCTTGAGCTAAAAGTTATTAGGCTCGAAATTTTTGACAGGCCTGACAAATAAGGCAAATAACTCAGGGCATGGTTGGGAACATTGGACTGGGGTATCACAGCCATTACAGAAATGAGCCTCAGGGATGGACAGGACTGGCAACTTAATGTATGAATAAAAAAGGGAGGCAAGAGATGAGGGGGACATGATGTTTTTAGCTAGGAATAACATTACAGCACTATTTAGGGAGGATATTCCTCGGAGATTGTCCAGTCAAGTTACATGGGTGGAACTGAGAAATAAGAAGAGGACGAGCACCTTATTGGGATTGTACTATAGACCCCTCAATAGTCAGTGGGAAATTGAGAAACAAATATGTAATGAGATCTCATATCTGTAAGAATAGGGTTGTAATGGTAGGGTATTTTAACTTTCCAAACATAGACTGGGACTACCATAGTGTTAAGGGCTTGGATAAGGAGGGATTTGTTAAGTGTGTACAAGAAAACTCTCTTATTGAATATGTGGATGTACCTACTAGAGCAGGAACAATACTTGACCCTATATTGGGAAATAAGGCAGGGCAAACACCTGAGGTGTCAATGGGGGAGCACTTTGCGGCAAGTGATCATAATACTACAAGTTTTAAAATAGTTACAAAAAACAACCAAACTGATCAAAAGGTTAAAATTCTAAGTTGGAGTAAGGCCCATTTTGATGGTATTAGACAGGAACATTCAAAAACAGATTTGGGGAGGTTATTTGCAGGTAAAAAGGGATGTTTGGGAAGTGGGAAGCCTTTAAAAATGAGATAACGAGAGAGTCCAGAGGCAGTAAGCTCCAGTTAGTGTGAACGGCAAGGGTGGTAAATGTAGGGAATGTTGGATGACTAGAGAAATAGAGGTTCTGGTCAAGAAAAAGAAGAAAGTATGTCAGGTATAGACAGCAGGGATCAAGTCAATCCCTAGAGGAGTATAAGGGCAGGAGTACTTAAGAGGGAAATTAGGAGGACAAAAACAGACATGAGATAGCTTTGGAAAATAGGATTAAGGAGAATCCAAAGAGATTCTATTAGTACACTAAGGTCAAAAGAGTTACTAGGGAGAGAAGACAGCCCCTTAAAGATCAACACTGCCATCTATTTATGGATCCACAAGAGATGGATGAGACACTTAACGAATATTTTGTCAGTATTTACAGTGGAGAAGGACATGGAGGCTAGGGAACAGGGGGAAATAATGATGTCTTGAAAAGAATCCATAGTATAGAAGAGATGGTACTGGAGATCTTAAAATGCATATAAGGTAGATAAATCCCCGGACATGATCAGGTGTATCCTAGAATTTTGTGGAAAGCTACTGAAGAGATTGCGGAGATATTTCTATCATCGACAGCCACGGGTGAGGTGCCAATAGACTGGAGGTTGACTAATGCAATGGAATTATTCAAGAAAGGCTGAAAGGAAAAGCCAGGGAACTGTAGACTGGTGAGCCTTACATCAGTAATGGGTAAGTTGTTGGAGGGCATTCTGAGGGATAGGATTTACATTCATTTGGAAAGGCAAGGACTGATTAGGGATAGCCAACTTGACATTCTGCTTGGAAGATCATGTCTCACTAACTTGATTGAGTTTTTTGAAGAAGTGACGGAAACGATTGATGAAGGCAGAGCTGTAGAAGTTGTCTATATGGACTTCAGCAAACTGTGTGGCAAGGTTCCACATGATAGACTGGTTAGAAAGGTTAGATCACATGGGATCCAGGTGGGGATACAAAATTAGCTCAGAGACAGAGTGGTAGTAGAGGGTTGCCTTTCGGACTAGAGGTCTGTGACATAGGTTTGAGGGGACAGGAAATATTTTAGAAAGGACTTGAGGGATAACTTTTTCACGTAGAGGGTGATGCACATGTGGAACAAGCTGACAGAGGAAGTGGTGGAGATGGGTACAATTACAACATTTTAAAAGCATCTGGATGGGTGTATGAATAGGAAGATTTTAAGAGGGATATGGGCCAAATGGGACTAAGTCAGATTGGGATGTCTGGTCGGTATGGACGAGTTAGACCGAAGGGTCTGCTTCCACACTATATGACTCTTATATAAAAAAAAAGAAAATTCTATGGTGTAGTGTACTCCAAGATCTCAGCATTTTGATCCCCCTTCTCTCTACTGCCCTGTGTTGAGGAAGTGTAGATGAAGCTAGTTCGATAATAGCTGCCTGCAGTTGGGCATCTGCTAGTCCTACTCCGTGCAATACTGAACACTCAGGAGGTCAAGCAGCACTTGTAGAGAGGTTGTAGAGAGGTTGAACAGAGGGTTTGTCTGTCTTCTTGGGTGGATGTAAAAGATCCCATGACATTATTTCACACTATTGCAGAAGGGTTATCCTGTGTCTTGGCCATGATTAATACCCCAATGAACATCAATAGACTAACTGGTCATTATCACGGTTCCAAAGAAGGGTCTCTGGTCATTAAGTCTGCTTTCTGTCCTCAGATGACCTGCTGAGCATCTCCAGCAATTTCTGTTTCTGTTTCATCACCACATAGGGTATTGAGTCAGTGACTATGAAAGGTGTTATGTAAATCCAAGTTACTTCTTATTATTTCGCAAATTTTAGATAGAAGTTTGAAGGGAACAAATTGATATCTTACTATGATTTACTACTAGCTGGTGGCCAAATAGTGATGCTTAAGTTCATGCTTTCACCTTTATGACCATAACATTTGTCGTGGTATTAATTACTATGCCATTTAAAAGTCAAGGTAACAGCTAGAGGTGGTGCAAGAAAATAACAGGACAAGACAAAACACTTGGGCAAAAAAATACTTTTGAAGAAATCAAGAATCTTTTGTAATCATCACTGATCTGTTAAATCTCACACAATTACTTACCCTGGCTGATTCTAGATGGTGCTGCAAGGATTGACTAACAACTCTAGTATTTTCAAGTGTAAGTGTAGGTCCAGAGAAATATTTCTCAACAACTCTCGTCTAAAACAAAACACATGGTTAATGTCAAACAGAACACTCTAAAATTACATTGAGAAGTGCACTATTAAGATGGAAACAAAGCTATATGTTTTTTAAGATTGTGTACTGTATTTAGGAAACTAACTATTCCCATTTTAAGACTCTTTCAGTTGGCCAGGTATTGAACCAAACATCCACCAGATGCCTTTTCTTTTATGCAAGCCTGTGGAACAATTACGAAAGAACATCTTGTGAGGACTCTCAAAAGGAGGGGACAATAACCATCATCCCACCACAATGTTTTAGACTATAAATAGAAGCACAAGAGCATTGCGAGAATGGAACAATAAGATCTGGATCCATGAAGAGTAACATTACACAATTTAAGTTCACTTTCCTCCCTCGACCCAAATACATTTATTAAAGTTTCAGCTTGGTCTTCAACTTCACAACAGACACCCTTCCTTTGCTCCCATTTACCAACTATACTTAAAAATAGCTTCTTACAACTTGAGGCTGCACAAACTACACTGTAATGAGGTAACAGGACAGCTAGTTCACAATTAAGTTTAAAAGAGTCATCTGCACTTCCACATTACTTGACAGTCCACACTGTATTGCACTAATATGCATGCTTGATGTTCAGCTTCCCGTCATCTGTGCTTACATTTTTGCTGACCAGTGCCCTGGTCTATCTGAAATAGTCATAAGACTTGCATTCCAGCTGAAAAGTTACTTTGGAGAGATTCAGTAAAATGAGACAGGGAGGTGGTGATAAAACAGTTATATGACCACAGTTATATCAAAAGAACTGCAGATGCAAAAATAAGAAAAAAAAACAAAAACAGAAACAGTTCTGAAGAAGAGTCACTAGACTCGAAACTTTAACTGTCTTCTCCTGACAGATGCCGCCAGACTTGTTGAGTTTTCCACCAATTTCTATTTTCGTTTGAGATCTTCAGCATCCACAAAGCCTTTAAGTCATTTATTTTCTTTTAAAAAATCAGTTGAATGGTGTAGTTTTTCAGACAAATACAAGACAGATATTATTACATCTGTTACTCTTCGATTCTTCCAGACAGCAGGTTCCTCCCTGTTAATCTATTATTATGGTCACGTTTGCCCTTGCATTACCGTAGATACACAGATGGGTAATTAAAAATTCTGCAGTACTTACATCATCCTCTGCAAACACAGACAGGCTGAAGAAAGAGCCAAGAACCGAAAGTCTCTGCAACTCTCTGCCTGTGCCTTGACTTAAAGGATCAGGCAAAAACAAAGGAAGTGAGATCACCTAGGAAGGCAAAAGGAATGCACAGTTAAACAATGGATTCATTTTTTGAATAACCATTGTCAATAAATAAGGTTCAACTCCCCACCCTGCACCTGTCTCTAATGATTTGTTCTGAAAGCACTGACTTTTTGGCTAGTATATAGCTGCACTGGCACGGACTGCCTGTGGCACCTTACACTGAATATCCTAGCCAACTCATTCTACCAAAACTGAAATCAACATTCACCAGTTTCCAGCAGGGTTGCTGGATAACAGATCAAGAATGCTGGCTGGAAGCTCCTACTTTAACTTAGGAGCTGCTGAACTACATCCAAAATGCTGCCCCTGCTAAAACCAACAAACTCAATACAAATCATGGACTGGGCTGCAAGTCTTTACTGGTCTGACTGGGTCAGATAGGGGCTAGATAAACTCCAAATTCCATGATAGCCAGTAAATATGTTTAAAGTTTATTGCTCAAAAATAACATTTTTAAAATATACACAAAACAACAGATATACTTTATACAATTTTATTAAGCTTTTCCCACCCCTGTCAAATTGCTGAGAGGTTGGTCATCAAACTACCACAGATAAAAAAAAATTCATTTGTTTTCAACATATTTTGGAGGAATTGATATCTCTTCAAAAGGCTGTTTGATGTAATAAACCATAGGACAATAACAACAGAGAAAGAGATGAACTTACCAAAGTGCACACAGGATGCGTCTTCCCAAACTTAATTTCACATAATTCTTGCAATGCCTGGAATAAAATATTATTCAGTTTAATTGACTAATAGATCATAGAACTAAGAAAAACAAGCTCACAAATTTAATTTTGATAAACTACTTTTTGCTTAATCTATACTGTAAGGATCCATTCAACCTATGATTAAGAGTTTTATTTTAACTCCTATTAGAATGCTATGTAACATTTAGTTATTATTTGTTAATTTCAATAGTTGATCTGATTTAATCTTATAAATACCAAATCAGTGACATCTTTGTGCAGCCATTTTGCACCTCATCACTCACAGGACAACATATTGTTTGTCTACATATCCAGCAGGTTTCAATATGTTCACATCCCCCCAACACCCCCACCCCTTTGTGGGAAAATATTTTGAATTCCTTCCCTGATGATATAAAGGCACTTAAGATGGAAAAGGTCTTTCCAAACCCCACTGTCTCCCCATTGCACTTTAAGCCCTAGCTTTAATCACAATTCTTGGTGACATGATGAGGAAAAGGTGCACTCCCACAACCAGGGCTTAAAGCAGGATCAGTCAACTTTCAAACTCATTTCCTTCTGGCAGAGCCATACAGCCAACTCGCAGCTACCATATTCATTCCACAAATTAGTACAGCTTGTAAAAACAAGTGGCAGTCATGCCTTTGGCACACTATCAGCAAAAAAAAAAAAAAAAAAAAAAATTCTGTGATTCTGCAAAATGAAATTACTCTTTCCATGGAATTCAGTGGATGCCATTCCTGATTGAATCATTCGCTATGACTAACCTTTTGTACACACAGCATAGCAGCTCTCAGAATCTAGACTTTATGGTTGCCTCGAGATGCATCATACCAATGATCAAGAGAATTAGTTTAATTTATGTTTGGTTTAAAATTCTTTGCGCTAATAATGGAAACTAACACACTTTAAACTAATGCTCTTAATTATTCGTATAACTGGTTTAAAGTTTTCAATGGGTGTACAGAAAATTAACCGGTACATGCTCATATAAAGATGAATTTCTGAACCAACGTAGCACACGAGAATGAGGTGCTGAAACAAGAATCCTTGTTGATATAAATAATTGAGGAAATATATTCATAGGTCAGAATAACAGTCACAATAAACAAAGCAGAGTTATGTTGTACAAATAGCAGCACACAAATCATGTTCACTACTGTATTAAATAGAGTTTACATAACAAGGTATAAAAACTTTACTTGGAGTCCATGAATAAACAAAGGAAACATCACATTTCCCCCTTTCTTACCACAAGTGGATACTTGAAATTATCACCATCTAAAGAACATTCTTTCACAGCCAGTGCTAGGCCTTGTATGATTGGAATAAAGATCTGTTGGACAGAAGATGAAAATTGCAAGCTCAGAATCTCGGCAGAACTATTATCTCCAAGTACTCAAAAAGTCAAACATCATGGGAAACATTTATCCTTGGGACCATCCAATTGATAATTGAATTGGAAAACGCATTTGAAAGTATGTGACATGAGAGAAAAAGCAGGAGGTGCTAAAGTGTGTATTTTCAATTGTCCCAGCTCTAGCTTAGCTAATAGTGGTTGACGGCACTTTGATCTGCAATTCGTGAAATGTGTTTAAAATCTGTGTGACATCCCCAACTTCTTCCAATATTCCTACCTCCACGTTTTCAAAGATTGTACATACCTTGAAACCAATCTTTTGCATAGATTAAAAAGACCACAAAATTTTGAGCTAAAAAGACACACAGGAATTCCACAATAGAGCTAAACACTATTGCACATCAACCAAAGTATCATTCTGATTTAGTGGGTTGGTGGGAGATGGGGAACCAGGCAGCATGAACGAGAGAGACACAACAGGACAACAGCTCATACCTGGAGTCAGACCCTGATCAGTCATATTCCCATTGAACAGGATTAGGTGGCAAAATAGCTTTATGTTCTAGATGGAAACGTAATTTGTGTGTTTGAGTTTCTAGGGACAGATTTCAAATACACTGATTTCTGATTCAGGTGAGCTGATGCCTTGGAACCAAAACCAACATCTTTAAGTATGAATGAAAAAAAAAAAATCTAGAAATATCTGCAAAATTTCTCACCTGTTTGAATACCTCGGAGTCCTGATGGGTCATTCTAACTAGCTCTTGAATGAAGCCGTAAGGAAGATTCCTACACAACATATATGGTACTAGTAACGACTGCTGCAACAAGGACCTGTGCAGTATAAATACATTTGTCTCATTAAACTCATTATGGTAACCCATTCTAAGATGAAGCCCACTCACTACACAAACTTGAAGTAGCTGCCTAGCCACAATGTGTGCGACAGAACCATGGCACTTTTTTTGTTAAAAGAATTAGCCCAGAGGCAGAGGCATTCTTTTAAAATGCTAAGCACAAACTGAAAGCTATCAACAAACGTTTGGAATACTGACCATTTTACCATGTGTCATAAAAGCCCTATATATTAACTAATCCCATCAGTTCATCAGGCTCTTTGTAAAGCAGTGGGCACAAAAAGGAAGTGCATCATACCAAAAAACAAGAACATTCTTTTTATTCTTTCACAGGATGTCGGTGTCACTGGCAAGGCCAGCACTTAGCGCCCATCCCTAACTACTCTCGAAAAGGTAGCATTGAGCTGTCTTCCTGAGCTGCTGCAGTCCATCTATGCAGATACACCCACATGCTATTACGCAGGGAGTTTCCAGGATTCATTTCGGTGCAAGTTAAGGGACAATGATATACTTCCAAGTTGGGATGATGTGTGAAACAACAAGACTAAAGAACTGTGGGTGCTGGAAATCAGAAACAAAAATTGCTGGAAAAGCTCAGCAGGTCTGGCAGCATCCGTGGAGAAATCAGAGTTAATATTTCGGGTCCAGGGACTCTTCTTCAGAACAGGTGATCAATGGTTTGGAGAGGAACTTGCAAAAGATAATGTTCACACACATCTGCTACGTTCATTCTTCTGCATGATACAGGTCACAGGCTTGAAAGGCACCATCAAAGAAGCCTTGGTGAGTTGCTGCCACACATACACACTGATGTCACTGTGTGTTGATGGTGAATGGAGCAAATGTTGCTGAAGGTGCACTCATCCGGACAACTGGAGAGGCTTCCATCACATTCCTTACTTGTACCATGATGTATTACATAAATTTACCCGTTCAAGTGGAAGAATCCAGAATCAAGTAGACCTTGTTGGATATTTCACTTCAGCTCGTGCATTTCCCAATTGTAAATATTTCAAAACAGAACCTTTTATGAAATGTTCATAGATCTTTGTGGACATTCATTGTATGAGAAGAATTCTATTGTTAGCTGCTCTCATTGATCTGCTAGCTGCAAACAAATCAAAAGTTTTATCTCGTATTAACTGAATTTTTCCTTCAACTTTTCTACCTTGTGACTGACGAGAGATGTTATGGAAATTCCATTCAATTCCTGATGTATTATAATACATTTTGGTAAGTAAAAGGGTAAAATCACATTTTTTAGGTTTACTAAGCAAGCAATCAACCTAAATTAATTAGGTCTTCCTTTTTGACAATGGAGTTGAGAAACATAGAGGGAAGAAACTTGAGCGGTTGAGAAGCAGACTCCTAGATTGTCATCAGCATCTAGTACAGTCCTGGAATAATGCAAATATTTGGTCATGGAGGCCAAGTGAAATATTGTTCTGATGACCAAGTCAGATTTGGTAACAAATAATAAGGTAAACTGTTTACTAGATGTGTTAGAATCTGTTGGGTGCCACACGGAAAGGTTAAGAGGACAGCACTGGTTGTGGGTGAGTAAGTTGACGTGCAGGATTTGGGAAGGCAGGCAAAGAGAACAAAGCAACAGAATTTGAGAAGAAAAATTTTAAAAATTACAAATTGAAAACAAAAACAGAATACGTGATAAACACTCTGCAGAATCCATGAAGGAACTAAAAGTTTAAGGCCGAGATTATTCTTCAAAATCTTCATGCGAAGATTGAACTAACTGAAGAGTTACTAGGTACAAAGTCAAAATGCAGGATAGAAAAATCCAAATGTAAGATAGCGAAGAGACTTCTTATCTGGCAATATTCATAAGATTTTTTTCCAATCAGCCAGAACTAATATTTTAGCAATTCTATCTAGATTAAATATTTGATTTTTTTCTTAGATATGAAAGTCAAACAAATGGCCAGTGCTTAAAAAGAAAATCAAGCAGGTAAATTTCTTCAAAAATCTTGTAGAACCAATAAACAAGCTTGTAACAGGAGCATACATGCGGACATATATTTCGCCCCAGTTTCCTGAAATGTAACTTGTGCAGAAAGGCAAACTTATATTGTTCATACTCTTATTGTTTTCTCTTCTCCATCAATATGGTACAATTATACTGAAAAGCAGTAGTCTACAGACTCAGCTGTTAGAGTACAAACAAGATTTCATAAAGTTACATTCAGTAGATCTATAATTTGTTTCAAATCATTGTCAAATACTTACTCTCATCAAGGATAAAGGAAAATCAATATATGTGACTCCCACAGAGGAAATAGGATGGTGATTAGAAGTCACCTTGTTTTTTTTAAAAAACAGATGCATCATTTCCTGGTCTGGAAGGTAAAAGTAACGAACAGCAAACTGGACTCAAATACTGTTTTTAGATTTGTTCTGACCTGCATGCAATTTTTTGTTATTCTTTTATGGGGTGCGGGTGCTGCTGGCTAGGCCTACATTTGTTGCCCATCTCTCACGGTTTGCTCGGTCATTAAAAGGCAACCACATTGTTGTGGGGCTGGAGTGTCATGTAGTCCAGACCAGTAAGGATGACTGGATGAACACCCCTACAGAACATTAGTTAACCTTGGTGTTTATTTTTGGTAGGGTTTTTGCTAGGGTTACTAAGACTAGTTTTAAATGTTCCAGATTTATGAATTTAAATTCCACCTGTTGCAATGGGGGGACCCATTTCCAACAGAGATTAGTCCTGGGCCTCTGATTACTCATCCAGTGAAAGGATCACGATGCCAACATCCGCTGTTTGAAACTATCCCCTCTCCCACAGAGAAGCTAGTGAATGCCTTCTGTTCATAATTGAAATACGTTAAATAACACCGATTTAAACCAGTGAATACAATACTAGAGAAGTGTTATTACTCCAGTTCTACAAAGATTTTAATGAAAGCATTCCCTATTTTCTTTAAAAAGCTTAAACAAATAATCTGCAGTGGATTAAAATAGAAATTGAGTTAACAGACAGCACAAGTTTTGATTCGGTGTTTGCGTTCTTCCTGCAATGCTTTGATTTAATAATCGTATTAGTAAGTAAACTGAAGTACAGTTACAAGTAAGAAAAACTAACCTTGGCTGTGTAAGGGCCCCCTGCAACACAAGAGCTGTATGGGAGATACACTGGGATCGGATGTTGCTGAGCAGCTGACTAACAGATGGTTGACTGCACATCTGAAAACATTGGAGACATTTTTGGTTACACTTAACATTCTGCAGTCATTTAGCATTCACAAATAAAAAGAAATCAGGAAAAGGAGCATAAAATATTCTTCAAAAGATGACAGAAATAAATGATTCCACTAGTGTAATATTAAATCTCCTTACCCCCACTAAAATCACAAACAGTATGTCAGTCATCCCTTCTGCTATTTGGAGTACATATTTACTGAGCAACTATTTTCTCACAACTGTCAGTGTTACTCAATACTAAGATAAGTTTTTATTTTCTTAAGAGGAGAGGAACGTAGAAAATGGAACTACGTTCCAGTTCAAAACATCCTGTGGCACAGTACAACTACACTGCTTTTCTATCCAAAACGTAAGTGGCATCATGCTGGACATAATCAACATGTTTACTGATTTGAAATATATTTTTAGCCACCAGTTGCCCTTTGAAGTCACTTGCAGTGTTCCAGCACTCGAAGTATTGACTGCCACCATGGGTACAGCGAAGTGGCAGTCAAGGCTTGCAAGTATACAGATTTACTGCCTGAGGGGCTCTAAATACTAAACTACCAATGCTGGACCAGAACTCGGCATAACATAAAAATACTTTCAGTTAATAAATAATAAACGTTTGTTTCTTGGCTGCTCTCAAAGTCTGTAAGAACTATTACTCTGTTCCCATACACTGTTTGATCTGCAACTTGAGTTTACTTCAATAACCTAAAATAGGCTAAAGAATTTCACCCTCTCCTGTAGGTACCAATAAGGGGAAATTAAAGAGATTGACAAACTGATGCAAATGGCACAGCTTTGTCAAATGGACACAATGGCTGAATTGCCTTCTTTTGCACTGTGACAATTCTGTGACATATGGATTTGAATGAAAGAACGGCTGTTGATCAACTCAAGCCAATTGAGAACAATGCACAAGCCCATTTGAAATTTTAAGCTGCTATGCGACTCCTATTTGCACGGTTTAGAAATAGTCGAAACTAAAATGCTACTGGCAAAACATCTGTCGATTTAACAAGTAGTAGCTTCAGTTTCAGTCAATGTTTCCACTATCAGCTGATCTACAGCTCACTTTACTCCTTTCCTCAGCAAATTCTTCTGTCCAGGATTCCATTAATCAAAATAACATGAATTAGATCAACTTACTGATTTAGAATATTTACGGATTTCACCTGAGCTGTCTTTAAGTTTGCACTACTAGTTCTAGATGCATCAATTTACCATGCTAGCTGCAGAAACAAAAAAGGTATATCTCTGAATTTTAGAAAGCATCTCTGGAATGGCGTTTTTGTCAGACCTGTCCTGATGATCTATTTTCATGAACTCGGCAGGTTTATTAAAGGTATAGCCAGTCAAGGAACATGCTGTTTTGGAAGCCGGTGATACTATCACTACGTCCTACAATATTAAAGCAGCTTTACTGAAGAACACAATCAACAATGAAGAAATCCTGACAAAAAGATATCCCCCACCAAAAGCAACAGATACAAGACATCCAAGACTAAGCATTTAATTGGGAGCAAGACTACAGAAATGAACCAAAGTGGATCAAAACTAGTATTAATCAACAAATGGGGCTTTTTCCCCCCCAGAGGAAAGACAGAAAAACAAACAGTTACTTATCTGTTTCAGAGATAGTAGGGGCTGCAGATGCTGGAGAATCTGAGATAACAAGGTGTAGAGCTGGATGAACACAGCAGGCCAAGCAGCATCAGAGGAGCAGGAAGGCTGACGTTTCGGGCCTAGACCCCCCTTCAGAAAGTTTTCTGAAGAAGGGTCTAGGCCCGAAACGTCAGCCTTCCTGCTCCTCTGATGCTGCTTGGCCTGCTGTGTTCATCCAGCTCTACACCTTGTTATCTCAGTTACTTATCTGGAGGTCAGCAAATAAGGACAGAACAATGGAGATGCAAGTATGGATGAATATCTGGATTTTGCTTGATTACCTCATGTATAGGTGTAAAGCTCATTGAGAGATCAAATGATTAGGTGGAGTCCTTTATTGACTGGATTCCTCATGGTCTGTCCAAATGTGTAAGCTTGAAATGCTAAACAGCTTTGCCCTATTTAATCCTTTACATTCTTACGGTCAAAATAACAGTTAGGATTTGTACTGACTAGATAGTAAAACTACACGTTCATTTTTGGCGAGAATGATTTAAAAACGCTGTTTATTATTTTACCTTTGGAGCTTTTCTCTCTTCTATTCCAACTCTGTCAAAGCACTCTATGAGGTAGTTCAACATTTCAGTCTCCTTACATGCTTCAATTGTGAAACGATCACTGCCGGACTCTGTGCAAGAACCACTCGTGCCTAGACTGGTTTGGGGACGGGAGGCAATGGAAGAAAATAAACAAACATCAAGCATTTCCAAGTAGTAAACATGATACTAGTGGTGATGAGAACATTCATGCCTTATGCGCAAAAGATACAGATAATATTCAATCGTTAAGTTGAACCAATATCTTCCTGTAGTTCTTTGAATCTGTTTTGTATTACAGGACAATTTCTAAATTGCACTGTAAGTGCAATTACCAAAGTGGTGGTCGAGTGTTTTGGGTCAGCATCTTGAAAAGGCTACAATAAAGCAACTGACTTATAAAATGTGAACCCTTTGGTAAAAGACTAACTTAACAGACACTCCCTAATCATATGAAAAACATTTACAAACCAGAGTGTGCTAATACTAACATGCATATCTGTATAAGGGAGGTTATCTAACATTAATTGTACAATTTGTTTGAAGAAATCAAGTTAGTGAACATGCATGCATCCAGGTGCACTTACATTAAAAAAAGGTCAAATTTTTCAATTCACACTGATTAAAAAGGCACAACAGTACGTAAACAGTGAAATAAACAAACCAAACAGGCTGTGACCCCCATAGACACATGCCTGATCACAGTTTATCCATTCAAAAATATCAATTAATCTTTTTTGGTATCACCACTTCAAAAACATAACCATCATATTACTGTGCAGTATCATGTATTCAAATGAACATAGGAAGAGAATGAACATACTCCAACTTAAAGCAAGCTAGATAAACTAAAATCAAATCTCAGTACGTTACCATTCGTTTCACATTTTCAACTGAAACACTTCTTATCCAAGGTTAGGCAACAGTATGCCATTAACCTCAAAAACATCTCCCAAATCAGAATATAAAACTCTCCAAGTTTGAAAAAATTAGTACAAAATTAGAAGCAATTTTGTATCATAAAACCACTAAATCGCTCAAACTTGCTGTATGTAGGATATTGACAACTCAGCAGACTTGCATTTAATCAGCATTACCAACTCAAGTCCGAAGGTGCAACGGAAGTGTTAGAACGCAGACAATCTTCCATGTTTTCCTGAAGTAGCGAATTATATGTATCTTGGTTGGAAAAAGACAGTTAATTTAATTAGCAGTAGTGAATTATAATTCATTTCTCTTGTATACAGTTTCCCAGTCTTGTCTCGTTTTCTTTTCCCTTTCACAAGTGTGGACATAGCTGACTAGGCCAGCATTTATTGCCCATTCCTAATTACCCTTGGTAGTGGTGAGCTGCCGTTCATGTGGTGTAGATATAGCCACAGTGCTGTTAAGGATTTCTAGGCTTGTGTGAAAGAACAGTGGTTCCAAGTTAGGATGGACATTGTTTGGAACAGAATTTGCAGGTGATGTCATTCCCATGAATCTGCTGCTCTTCTCATTTTAAATGGTAGAGGTCACAGGTTTGGAAGATGCTGTCAAAAGTAGTCTTGTTAAATAGTACACACCACTACTACTGTATGGCGTTACAGGGAATGAACATTGAAGGTGGTGTCAAATCAAGCAGGTTGCCTTGTGCAGGATGCTGTCAAGTTACACTTAGGCAGGCATTTGAAGAGTATTTCCTCACATGGATCTACGCCTCGTAGATGGTAGACAGGCACTGGGAAGACGGGAGGCAAGTTATTCACCAAAGGATTCCTACTTTCTGACCTGTCATTTTAGGTACAGTATTTATATGGCTAGTGCAGTTCAGCTTCTAGTCAATGGCAGTCCCCAGGATGCTGGCAGTAGAGAATTCAATGATGGTAATGTCACTATGTTGAGGGGAGACGGCTAGATTCTGTTTTGTTGCAGATGGTTATTGCCTGGCACATGTATGCCATATATGGTACATGCCACTTATTTGCCCAAGCTTGAATCTTACTTAGATATTAGTGTATATGGACACAGGCTGCTTCTATATCTGAGAAATCACAATGGCACTGAACAGAGTGCAGAGACCTTCCCCACTGCTGACCTTACGATGGACAGAAGATAATTGAAGCAGCTCAAGACAGTTGGGCCTAAGGCACTATCCAAGAAGTTTCTGCAGCAATGTTTCATAACTGAGACAATTGGATTCCAACTACAATTAATATTCCTTTGAGTTAGACAGCACTCCAACCAGTAAACAGATTTACCCCAATTCGCACTGAATCCACTTTTGCTAGGGCTTCCAGATGTTCCACACCATCAGATACTGCTTTAACATCATGGGCAATCACTCACCTTTCCTTGAGTTCAGCTCTTTTGTCCATGAATGGATAAAGGCTGTAAGTGTCAGCAGCTGAGTGGATCTGTTGGAATCCAAAAATGAGCAGTGAACAGGGTTACTGTTGAGCAAGTGCTGCTTGATACCACTGTCAATGACATCTTCCATGACTCTGCAATTAAAGCAGTAATTGGTCAGCTTGAATTTGTCTTGCTTGTGCATGGACAAGACATATCTGGGCAATTTTCCATTTTGTTGGGGAGGTGCTAGTGTTGTAGTTGTACTGGAACAGCTTGGCTAGAGGGCAGCTCATTCTGGAGTACAAGTCTTCAGTACTATTGCAGGAATGTCTTCTGGACCATAGCCTTTGCAGTATCCAGTAAGATCATTAAATTGTTGACATTACATGGTGTAAATCAAACTGGCTAAAGACTAGAATCTTCTGGGGCCACATTCACTCGGCATTTCTGGCTGAAATCAGATCTGAATATTCCAACCTCATCTTTTCCATCGATTTTCTAGGCTCCTTTCATTAGAGAATGGGGATATTTGTGGAACATTTACTTGCAGTTAATTGGTTAACTATCCACCATTCATAACTGCATGGGGCAGGATTACAGAGCTCAGATCCAATCTATAAATTGTGGGATCACTTAGCTGTTAATCACATGCTACTCTTGTTGTCTTGGCGTGCAAGAAGATCTGTGTTACAGCTTCACAAATGCATTTTCAGCTTTCTTCTCATTTATCAAAAAGATATTCCCTGGCATCCAAGGGTACCTTCCAATATTATCGGCAAGGAAATATAGTGATTAAAGCAGGTCCAACTACATTGTTAATAAAACTACCAACTCTTTAACCACATCTTATTCCACACATTACCACAGAGTATATTAAACTTCATTAGGTTTATAGAAAGTTACCTAATTATATTTTCAACTTCATATAGCGACTGGTGATGCATTTACACAATAACATTTAATTGCTTCTTAGCCTTCAATAGGTGACATCAATAGTGGTGTC